CGAGTTGCAACCAATGATAAATACGCTACAACCAAGTTGCAATTGTGTTGTAAAAGTGCTTGCAACTCATAGTACAATATATTGCAATTACGTATTTGAAAAAAAAACTTCATTAAATACAACCTTCATTGCAACCGGTGCTAAATACGCTACAGCCAAGTTATAATTGTGTTGTAAAAGTGCTTGCAACTCATAGTACAACATATTGCAATTACGTATTTGAAAAAAAAAACTTCATCAAATACAGCCTTCATTGCAACTAGTGCTAAATACGCTACAGCCAAGTTGTAATTGTGTTGTAGAAGTGCTTGCAACTCATAGTACAATATATTGCAATTACGTATTTAAAAAAAACTTCATCAAATACAGCATTCATTGCAACCAGTGCTAAATACGCTACAACCAAGTTGCAATTGTGTTGTAGAAGTGCTTGCAACTCGTAGTACAACATATTGCAATTACGTATTTGAAAAAAAAACTTCATCAAATATAGCCTTCATTGCAACCAGTGCTAAATACGCTATAGCCAAGTTGCAATTGTGTTGTAGAAGTGCTTGCAACTCATAGTACAACATATTACAATTACGTATTTGAAAAAAAAACTTCATCAAATACAGCCTTCATTGCAACCAGTGCTAAATACGCTATAGCCAAGTTGCAATTGTGTTGTAGAAGTGCTTGCAACTCATAGTACAACATATTACAATTACGTATTTGAAAAAAAAACTTCATCAAATACAGCCTTTATTGTAACCAGTGCTAAATACGCTACAGCCAAGTTGCAATTGTATTGTAGAAGTGCTTACAACTCATAGTACAACATATTGCAATTACATATTTGAAAAAAAAACTTCATCAAATACAGCCTTCATGGATCTCGTTTTGTTAAGCATATTTTTTTTACAACCTACATCAAACAGATCTAAAATCGGATATGTGGTTTAGAAGATATCGCATTTTTCGTTTGGAATCAACAAAAGATTTCCTGCATGCATGCTTCCTAGTGGGTGGGTTGAGCTGTTAGGTGGCATCATGTAGTTGGTTGTCTCCATTTAGTTTTGCATGTAGGAGCGTGGACTTACCTCGCGCTCGCCACGCTCGCCGCGCTCCGCGCGTCTCGCCGCTCGCGCTCGCGTGTCGGGTAGCCTCATATATATATATATATATATATATATATATATAATTTACCTTCAATGATCGGTTTTGTTAAGTCTCTGAACGGTATTGAACAACTTTGTTCCTAATTTTCAATAGGTTGCATGAAGGAGAGTATGTATTAAAATGCACGAAGAGAGTCATTAGAATCTAGTACTCCACCACCTAAAAATATATCAACAATAAACCTTAAACCTCCTGGTAACCTATTTCGTGTGCACGTAGGAAATTTTTTTTCCCCACCTCACGATCCATCAGAAGGGTCTGGTTATCTTGATATGCCTGCCCTTGTAGCGTGCGTTGAAGCAGATGGACTCTAATTGGGCAACACTGACAAATGAGCTTCGTTGCACGAATCAACAACTTTGGTCTTCTCTAGATGGGACGGATTGCAGATAAAACACTACCACGAACGCAGTGGCTTGACCTGTCCCCCTCCGACTCGAACTCTGCGTAATCTGCGCACGCGCACCATTGGACAAAAGGCAGCCGAACCCATGTGTGGGCCCAGCTTGGGGCTCGTGCACGAAATTTCGTTTGACGAAAGCGCTTCATACTTTTTAAGCGGCGTGATCGTGGAATTGATCAATATTATTGTGGGAATTGATTTTTGTCTTTCTATGGAGCGAGTGTGCGTTGTCTTTCTAATCTGATCGTATAAAGCGATTTTGGTATCGCACATGTAGACGAAATAGTTATGAATATTTTAGTTGTAGAGATGTACACTTCAATCAGCTAGTGTCGTTATTAATTGCCGTACTTGCAGGACCGTCGATGGCTGGCCATTCCCCGTTGCAAAGAACTGTGCAGTGGAATAAGATCAGAAAATTACTCCTTGTACAACATAGTAAGTACTCCTTCATTTCACTACATGTCTACATCACATTTTTAATATAGTAAGTATACTATTTTGAATTAAAGTGAGTGAATACTCAAGTGATTTGAACCATTTGATCTCCAAGCAAGTTGTAAAAGGAGTTGTACTTTTTTTTGTGAGGGTTAGAAGAGCTGTATGTATGGTTAATTTACATACAGACCGTAGAGTCCACACGAGATATACTCCATCCGTCCCGAAGAAAATGTCATTCTTGTTTTTTTAAGATTCAACCAATGTCTGGTTTGACTAAATATATGCAAAAGGTATTCAATATTATTTATGTCATGTAACAAGTATCATTAGATAAATAATTAAATATATTTTTATGATAAATTTATTTGGAGATATAAATTTTGATATTATTTTATATAAACCTAGAATTTAAGAAAATTAAAATTAGTTTAAACCTAGGATACCAATTTTTTGAGAGGAAGGAGAGTAGTTGATATGATGCTGATTCATGCCTGCATATGGGCCAGAGCTATGTACTATTTCCTTCGTCTCATAATAACTGTGCATCTTATTTTTAGGGAATCTTTTTAAGTTTGACTAAATTTATAAAAAAGTATTATCAACATTTACATCTCATAATGGCCCGTTCATTTGGTCTCAAACTTGACTGAAAAAAACTGCTCCTAATTTGAATTGTTTGAGAGAGAAACAATGTTAATTGGTTTGATGAAAAAGTGCAATGGGAGGGGAACCGGTAAATTTGAACTTTTCGATTCAGATCAAATGAAATGAGCGAATATTTTTATTATGAAAGTACATTCCACTATTAATCTGATAATATTTATTGCACATCATAAATATTAGTATATTTTTTATATGTTTAGTCATATTTTTAAAAAAATGGACTTATCAAAAAACAAGATGTACAGTTTTATTTTGGAACGGAGTGTATCCATATCATAATAACAATTTCAACCGACTTTTTACATGCTTCTTAATTTATAGGAACCCCGATAGTCTCTTCAATTAAATCTCGAAATATAGACATATCCTTCATTTCGGATTTTTCATTAGCCAAAGATGAAGAGCGAAAATGACTCTCCAAAATACGCACAAGATACAAAAAAGTTGTTGAAGGGTATACAGATATAGAAAAGCGATTGTTACTCTAAATAATAATTTAGACAGTAAATTTCAGAAAGACTTTACTCTAAGTACGAATGGAACATGAGACCACACCAACGGAGAAACCAAACTACTGTGGTGCCGCTGTTTCCGTTGGCACATAGTTTCTGCGTGAATACAAAGGGCAAACACATTCCGGGTCTCCAGAAGACCAGAACCTCTGGTGCTCTCACAAGCCCTGATCTTGGTTAGTCTTCTACATGCATGTACGGAGTATAAAACTAACTCAATGGAGCCACTCGTGCCATGTCATCACCAAAAACAAAAACCAACCTAGCTTAATGCTGCTGTAGTCCTGTGCTTTTGCTTATGTGCCTATACAAATGCAATGCGCTATAGACTATAGTAATCCTGGTTCTTCTCGCATCCTAAGAAGGTTTTCTTCTGCTAACATATATACGCTCACAAAAGGCTTGAACTGAAACTAATCTCCTGGATGAGTCCTAACTCCAGCTCCCTTTCATTGGCCCTATATATATTGTGGAATAGTTTAGGATGACAAGTTGCATGGCTAATTATTCTTGTCCTTGTTGTTAGTGTCCAGTATCCACTGGACACTGGTTGGTATGGTCCTCACACGTGAGTCCAACGAATAACATCCAAAGGACACCTTGTCCCTCGCTGATCTGTCCAGAACGAAGAGCAGAAGATGGGAGTAAAAAATACAAAGAGGTGCGCTGTTTTGTCGTACCCGTACAGGAGAGACAATCAGACGAGAGAGATAGCACATGAGCATCTTGCGTCTATGTATCAAGACCACAAGTGGAAATACATCCTTACTGCACAGCTCATAACATACTACCTCCTTTCAAAAAAGAAGAGAGGATACAATTCTATTTCTGATTAGTCAAAGCTGTCTGAAGTTTAACTAACTCTATAGAAAGACGTACACACATTTGTAACAACAAATGCATATGCTACAGAAATATATTTCATAATAAATGTAAATGTTACTTATTCGGTATCATAAATATTGATTGATATCAAACTTATAAAGATTTAACTCAATAGTATTAAACTGATTCTTTTCGGGACGAAGGAAGTACAATGTTAGTCTCGACGAATCCTTGGAATATTCGAGGTCGTCCATCCTTCAGCCCATGTCACTCAGGACTCAGGAGTCAGGACGCCTGCAGTATCAGCCTCCCAAAATGCATAGAAAATAGTCACTGAACAGGCACGCATAATATATCTGTTGCTTTTTCATATGCACACATAATGGCCCCGTCTGAAATATTACTTGTCTGGATAGCGATGCTAAGGTATTGGGGCTGCCTGGCTGCCCTTCTTCTACAGTCACCTGCAGCAGCTTGTTTACAGTAAATGCAGTCTGCAGCAATCACTTCTGAGCAGGCCAACAATAAAGTAGTCGGAAAAGGGGGAAAAAGATTTTAGGACCATCATCAAGAAAAGTCCCGAAATATTCAGCTCAGCTTTGCAAACGCATCATATCTCAGTGGTCGGTCATGAGGCTTGTTGGTCGTTGCAGATTCTATTCTATGTACTACAAACAGAAAGTAGGATCTCAAATTCTGGAGGGGTTAGCTTCTACCAGATGGAAAAGGATCCACATTTATATCAGAAGAAAAGTTAAACTGATGGTTCTTCTACAGCTCTATCTCGAAAAGTTTTCCCATGCACAGCTTCCTGCAGCAATTTAAGAGTTAGATTTGTATCTATCAGAATGCAAAGTGGTCACAAACTATGTGGCTTCACTATCATTATTCATTACCTGGTAGTTCTATACGTAGCAAAACGAGTTACTGGTCTCCCTTAACAAAGCCAGAATCCTACGCTTGGACTTGGTGATGTCAGGAAACCATTCCATGGTTTATACAGTGCTTGAATTTTCTTCATAGGCCATGTTATTCTGCTTTACGTGTGTGTACTTCAGATTTTTCTCATTTGGAATCCTTTCCTGTCTGCAAGCATAATGGAGGACTTGACTCAGAGCAGGAAAAACAGAACAATTACTATGATGTTAGTACAAATCAGAACTAACCAGCATCTCATGGTCTCCCATTATTTCCTCAATCACCTCGCCGAGAACCTTCTCTGCACTGTTAGGAACAAGCGCAGCAAAAGCAGCTGGTTCCAACCCTGAAAAGAAGTAAATAAAAAGCTGACAATTTTATGAGATCTGACCTTAAAGCGTTGAAGTTCAGTTTATTTATTTGATTACAGAGTTTCACCTTATACATTTCACCATTTCATAATTTAAGGCAGAACTTTTGACTTACCAGTTTCTGGGAAGGCATTGATGAACATCATCATCTCCTCGCCAGTCAGACCAGAAAATATGCATATCCTCGGCAGTGATCCTGCAATCTGTGAATTGGATGCAATCTGTGAATTGGACATGCGCCTTAGCTAGAGTTTCAGATACAAATTTAAGAGTAGGGAATAAAATACCAATAAATGTCGCAAACTAAATTCTCAATAAAAGTATATGCACTAGCATTCTAAAAACTAAAAAAATATGTTTACAATGTCTTGGTGCAAACCTTGACAGCTTCCAAATCAGGCTGCTCAGTGTGCATGGCATCCCATAAGGTTTGCTTTGTCATCTCCTCTGTACAATGAATCACCTGAGTCAAGTTAAAAGTATTGTGAGAACAAAACCAAAACAAACTTGGATGAATTTTCAGGGTTGCATCTACCAACTAAAAACTGCAATCGCACTAAGGACAACAACAAGAGAAAGGCATTATAAACTGAATTATATTGCTAATAAGTGTACCATTGTTGACATTTATTTACAACACATCACAAATAAAGTAAATCTTTGACCCATCAACTCAAATTTATTTCACTTATTTTCTTGCTGGAGAGTACATATATTTGTTCAGTTCATGTACCATCTGCAATAACATATAGCAGAACTATTTTCTCTAGTATAGCAAACTGACAGCTAACCTAGGCAGAATAATTACATATGAATGGCAAAACTGTTAAAAGGTACTCTAGTTTGCTGACAGTATATGGAATAAACAAGTGACTTCATCACTCTAATCAACATGTATATGGATAGAGCATTCTCGCATGTCAGTGACAGCCGATGCACAACTTGCCTTGAGGAATTCACCTTCAAGCTCTTTCAGGAAGGCCTGAATCTGCACAAATTGTGGAACTCACGTAAGGTGGAACTGGCAGCACAACACAAAGTACTCTCTCCATTTCAAATTATAAGACGTTTTGTCTTTTCTAGATACGTTGTTTTTGCTATGCACTTAGATATACACTATGTCTAGATGCATAATAAAAACAATAGATGCATAATAAAAACAATGTATCTAGAAAAGCCAAAACGTCTTAATTTGAAACAGAGGGAGTATTATTTACTACCGCCAATGACAATAAATGCAAGACATATATGATTTTTTTCTACCACTTTTTTTAAACAAACATGAACGTTCAGGTTTCTGAGCAGATGCCTACATGGCAACATGAAATTTTTGCAAGAAAACTATACCTGGGGCACATAGAGTATCTAGAACTCAGGTATACAATATACAGGGAAGCCATCTGCTTGGTGGAATCTGACGAAGCACAGCCTTATGTGTGATCATTTTTAATTTTACTACCAAATATTACTCCCTCTGTCCTGAAAAGAATGCAATTCTAGCATTTCACCAAGTTTATACAAATCATCTAAAGTTTGATCAAGTTTATACAAAGGGTATCAATATTTATGATACCAAATTAGTATTATTAGATCCATCATGAATATACCTATTTGGTGTCATATATACCTGTTATCTTTTTGATAAATTTTGTCAAACTTTAGATTTTTTTTACTAAGTACAGAGCTAGAATTGCATCCTCTTCAAGGCAGAGGTAGTCTCTTTCCTTTTTCCCTAAAAAAATTACTGAGCAGCGAGCACCATCATTGAAGCGCTTTGGTTCTTTTAAATGTAATAATAGTGCAAAAATGGAGAAAGATACTAATGCTCTGCAAATTGACATCACTGATTTACCGTGACAGTTTCGCCTTTCTCAAATCCGATGAGCAATAGCGCCTGAAATTCACATATAGGAGTATGATATACTGTAATTTGCAGCGTTTCCATGTACTCGCATGATAGGCATGCAACGATAGAAGTGTAGAACAACTGCGAGCTGCGACTCACCGGTGGGCCGTACATGGGATCATCCGCGTTCAACGGCACAAACTTGGAGTCCTCTTCCATCAGCTCGGCCGGAGCTCCTGAGACGCACGGGTTTATCACATAAATGAACCAAAACCGAGTACCGCCAAGCTAGCTGAAGCGCGCAGCTTCCGCCACCACACTACGCATATTACCTTCGCGGGGCAGCGATCGGAGTGAGCCGCGCCACTGGCACCGTCGTCTCCTCAGTGGCCGCACCGAGATGGAGGAGGGACCGCGCGGCACCCGGGCACGATGGGGGAAAGTGGAAGCACCGGAGCTTGGGGTGAGCGGACGCGGGAGCAGAACGGCGGCAGCGGGTGTTGCAGCCATCGGCGCCGGCGGCGAGAACGGGGAAGATATCATCCTCTTAGCTTGTGGATTGTGGTCTCCCTTTCGCTAGCGCTTTGCCAGCGCGGCTGCTTGGTGCGTTGACGCTGCACGCCATTTTAGCCGTCCGATCAGCATCCTAGGGCTTCCGCTCACGAGCGGTTGGCCCTGGCCGGCCCACTCGTCTACCACAGATTGGAGTTGGACCACGACGACCGATCACGCCGTCCGACCCCATTCACCCCCGTGGACCGTGCCGTGCCGCGGCACGCCGCCGCCGCGACGCCATGGGAAAGCGATCCGGCGGTCGGAAGCTGCCGTTCTTCACCAGATCCTCCTCCTCCTCGTCCTCCTCCAAGCGGAATCGCTCCGCGCGCCGCCTCCCTTCCTCCTCCAAGCAGGACAACGCGACGAGGGCTCTTCTCGCCTCCCCCTCCGCCGCTTCGCCGTCTGCGACCCCGGGCTCTGCGGCGGCGGGGCAGACCGCGCAGCTGCCCCCTCCCCTCTCGGCCACCGCGGGCGCCGGGGGTGCCGTGTCGGGGAAGGTCACCAAGAAGAAGGCCGGCGCGCGCCTGTGGATGCGGCTGGACCGCTGGGGTACCTCCGAGGTCGTTGAGCTCGACAAGGCCTCCATAATCCGCCGCGCCGGCCTGCCCCCGCGCGACCTACGCATCCTCGGCCCCGTTTTCTCTCGTTCCTCCAGCATCCTCGGTGAGCACACCCCGCCACCCCCCTCTCCCCGCCCTATTTAATATTCGATCATTTGTTTTTTGTGGTGATAAAAGCAAGAAGACGCAAACTTTGGTATCGTCCTAGTAATGTACAATGATTTATTCTGCAGCTAGGGAGAAGGCGATGGTGATCAACCTCGAATTCATCAGGGTGATAGTGACTGCCGAGGAGGTGCTCCTGTTGGACCCTCTAGTGCACGAAGTGCTCCCTTTCGTTGACCAATTGAGGCAGCACCTGCCTCTGAGGAGCCTGGTGGGTGGGAATGGTGAATGTGCCCCTGATGGCAATGGGGAAAAGCAGAAGGGCTCGCCTGGAGGCCAGGTGCCCTGTCTTAATGAGGCGACTGGTGCAGAGCACGAGCTGCCATTCGAGTTCCATGTGCTGGAGGTCGCGCTTGAGGTTGTGTGCTCATCGTTGGACCTTAGCGTGGCTGACCTTGAGAGGCATGCTACTCCAGTGCTTGACGAGCTGACCAAAAATGTGAGCACGAGGAACCTTGAGCGAGTGCGGAGCCTTAAGAGTCATCTTACCCGTTTGCTTGCCCGTGTGCAAAAGGTATCATTAAAGAAAGACTATGTGTGCTTAATTCCTCAGTCTACCTGAATTTGAGTAGTTTATAACCATGGTTGTTTCTTATTGTTGCATGTCAATTTTGTAGATCAAAGTACCATTGAATTATATTACTAAGATAATCCTAATTAATTGGTTTCCAACAGTCTATTCTATTTGCAACAATGGAAATATGATTGAGTTCTTCAAACAGCCCTGTATACCGTGTCTGTTTATAACTGTGCAGCTTAGATTGTCTCATGTTGTAAATTGCTATAGTTTTAGTTGCTTTGTGCATAGAGTCACAAACCAATTCAGCTTGACTTTTTGCTCTGATCTTCTTATCTAGCCTGATGCTCATGCAAAAAGAATTCCTCGGTGTACTTACAGTTGGTGCAGTGGTGAGAGCTGTCTCACTGAGTCACCAGGTCGTGGGTTCGAAGCAGCCTCTCCGCAGATGTTGCGGGGGAAAGGCTTGTCTCGGTTTATCCCTTCCCCAGACCCCACCCATGTGGGAGCCTCCGGCACTGGGTCTGCCCTTACTTACAGTTGTGTATCCACTATGGATTTGTAAAAGAGGCATGGTTAATTTTAGCTGCGGGAAGACAAATAGAAACAAGCCATTGAATTTTCGTTTTTGGAATTAAACTGTAGGGCTCTCTTTCGTTCTCTCTTAAGCCTATTGTTTACATCATATTGTGGTGAGCTGCTGAGTGTTTCTGTTGTGCTTGTGACAATCTTGGTGATATCTCATATGCTGCTGTACTGGGATCTGTTATGTATTTATTTATCGTATCTTATCAGGTCAGGGATGAAATAGAACACCTTCTAGATGATAATGAAGACATGGAACATCTGTATCTAACAAGGAAGCAAGTACAAAACCAACAGGTTGAGGCTTTAATGTCATCTGCTGCTTCCAACAGCATTGTTCCTGCCGGAACAGGTGTGCCCAGGCTGAACTCTAGTTTTCGGCGTAGCATGAGCATTGCTACCAGCATGCATTTGGATAATGATGTGGAAGACCTAGAAATGTTACTTGAGGCCTACTTCATGCAGCTGGATGGAATTCGCAACAGAATTTTGTCGGTTAGTCTCTTTATCCACACTGAAATAGCATGTATTGCCCTGTATTGTTGGTTATGTAATTATATGATGCTGTCTCCTGATACATAATCTGCTTATGCTAGAGAGAATACACATGCTAAGATATATTCCTTTTGTTTTCTACCAAACACAGAGCTCAGTCTATACAAGTTAAAGTAGTACTCCCTCCATTCCAATTTGTGAGTCATTCTGACTTTTATAGATACATAGCTTTGTTATGTATCTAGACATCATGTGTATCTAGATGTGTAGCAAAAACTATGTACCCAGAAAAAACAGAACGACTTACAATTTGGAACGGAGGGACTACAAGATTTTGATTGTTTCTGTTCTGATATGATCTCTCCTTGAAAATAAAACAGGTTCGGGAGTATATTGATGACACAGAAGACTACGTCAACATTCAACTGGACAACCAGCGTAATGAACTCATTCAACTCCAGCTTACACTGACCATTGTATCCTTTGGCATAGCTGCCAACACTTTCATTGCTGGAGCTTTTGCAATGAACATCCCGAGCTCTCTGTACAACATCACTGATGGCAGCCTCTTCTGGCCATTTGTCGGGGGCACCTCATCCGCCTGCTTTGTAATCAGCATCCTCTTATTTTGTTATGCCTGGTGGAAGAAGCTGCTGGGTCCTTGAGCACAAAGCAAAGGCAAGATGGCAGAGAGCCTTGTGATGTTTGCAGAAAGGAAGCAGGCGTTCTGAGGATATTAGAGAACCGTGGGGATAGCATGTAAACCGTACATAACATCTCACGAGTGGTCCATAAGATGAGTACGTGTAATTTCTCATTAGCATAAACGAGATGATGTGATGATCGATATACTTCTGTTAACATCATTAGATGTAGCTCTTGCTGGCAGTGGAAAAATGTTGCCATGAAATTATATTATCCAGCAACGGTTGGTTTCTTGTACAGATTGCTTTTCTTTCTGTTTTGGAGCTACCATCTTCTGTGCAAGTTTTTGGGCAATCGGCAGGTGATGTTGTTTAGTCGACTATAGCCACATCTCGTGCCCAGTCTACTGATCGTTCTCTTCCACCTGACGAATTGTGACTCCCATGATGAGTGGATCAGTTGTTAAGGATCAGCTCTTCTCATATTTTGGTTAGCGTGTTGGTTGCTCAGTTGAGCCCTATCTCTCTTTGTTGTCGGCAGATGCTTGGGTGTGTGGATGTTCTTCATTTCATAACATGTTTCAGTTTGTTGTTCAGCTGGTCTTTTCTTCAGCAATGATGCTTGCATAAAGCTTTTCATGAGATAGGCTATTTAGAATTTAGATGATCAAGTTGATTTTGTTCGGCTGCTTGTGAAAAAAATTGCTACATCATTCCCCATTTGTCCTTCACTTTTTTTTTTGAGTGGAACCATGTCGATTCCCGTACGAACGAAAAAAACATCTTGCTCATTAAAATCAATTTGGGCCACGAATAGTTTATAGGCCGAAACACTTGGTCACGTGAATAGCCCATACATGGTCCATCATGCAAGCTGCTTGGCAATACGCAAAGTACGTGTTTTGGTCATAGCTCTACCACGATTCACCAGACTCCTATATGAAGTGTGGCAATTATTAACTAGAGGAAATTCATGCGCGGTGTATGTGGCATGCGCTTCATAGTTGGCTCTAGCTTAAGGAGTACTAACTACTACACGTAGTTTTCTCTTGAACGAGCCCATACGTGTACTCGTACATATATAGTACCGTCGCAAATCGCAATATGTTACATACAGCGGCGCTCGAGCTTCATAGAAATCTCGCCAACATTTTTGTCGATTCGGTGGAGAATGATGCAGAAATCTCGCCAACATCTTTGTCGATTCGGTGGACAATGATGCGTTCTACTCTCTGAGTCCTTTTTCAAACGTCTCTATGATTGGTATTTGTGCTGGTCAAATTATTAAATTTAATTAGGATTATAAAAATAATAATAACATTTATATCTCTATATAAGTTTATTATAAAGATAGGCTTAACGATATAGCTAATGATATTAATTATAACATAAATATTAATATTTTCTTTTATATATTTAGTCAAAGTTGAATACGTTTAATTTCTTAGAAAATAAGATTAATAGTTAAAAAGACGTACGTGTTTCCTTCAGGCCTTGTTTGTTTCTAACCCAAACCAAGGGGTTAGAGAGGAATAAGGAGAATTTAATACCCTTCAGTCAAAATCTCTCTCAATCCCCTCCAATTTTCTCCAGCCCACTTTGGTTTAGCGTAGAAATGAACGAGGCTTCATTGAGACGCTGCCGAGCGGTTCTGGATGCAGCGGCATGTCTTTGTGCGAGCCTGCGAGGTCATGGAGCGGCGTGGCCTTGCTGTTGTAGGCCACGGCACCCCATGACAAGAAGAAAAGGCAGGAAGAAGGTAGGAAAGGCTGACATATGCAAACTGCTCAATTCATCCCAAACTGTAAGACGTTTGACTTTTTTGACACCAAATTTGACCACTCGTCTTATTAAAAAATTATGTAAAATATCACTTCTTTCGTCGTGGTTTGGTTTATTAATAAAAATTCTTCAAGAATGACTTAAATTTGACTATATTTGCATAAATTTTTTTAATAAGACGAGTGGTCAAACTTAGGGCCAAAAAAG